ACGCACCGTAGCCAACTGTTTCATCAGCACAGCATCATTATGGCAATACAGTACTTTTTGTCCTAGGATGCTACTACAGTAGACACGAGCCCGGGATCGTTTTTCACATTACTTTAGGATAGACCTAGTATTTGAGGCATTATCACTTATATAAAATCCGTTAGTGGGATTTGAACCCGGCACCTCATGGACTGAAGTCCCACGCTTTAACCACTATACCAGTTCGCTCCCCAATATGGCAATACTGTACCCAAATTTAGGCAGCCAAGTCTGAAAGTAGCTGGATCAATTCTGGTTGGACCTCGGAGTCATTTGTTATTGGACTATCAAATTAATCTGTTGATATTTGAATTCGAACGAGAGGTGTTTATGGCCTCTGGTGACCTCAAAACGAAAAATTAAATCGGTCCCGGGTGCAGGTCTTACAATGAGACCTACGGTAAGCTCATTCCCCATAAAAAATTCGCTAAAACTGCACAAAAATACAACTGGATGTAGGTGTGTTCAATAATGTTACTCCAAACGTTCACAAAGAATTTGTAGGCCTATGAGTTACGAAGCATAATTTTAACTAATTACCTATTACAGCATTTAACAACGGGTTACAAAACTACCCTGCAAACATGTTTACATACTTTAACATCATAGGAACAAGCTCAATATTAAGAAACGGCAACTTTCGTTAAACGAGGTTTCAATTAATCACTTGGAACTCTCAATAACACTTAAATAGTTTCAAAGTCAGTTACAATTAAGTAGGAATTCCACTTCGCATTAACACTCAAATAAATATATCAAACTACCAATTAAGACAGGGACGCTAATGTGCATAATTACATTCAAATAAGGGCTCAAAATGAGTGTGAATAGCGAGTCTAGAAAATCTAAATTGAGGAAAATTGAACGAGGCTTAATAACAGGGGAAAAGTACATTAATGAGAACCAAGTATGTTTAGTTATTTGGGAAATCGGCTTATTGCAATATATATTGGATTTAGCGACGAACATTCTGATTGCAGTGAGCACCGACTACAATATACTAGCACCAGCACCACCCAGCTACACACCCCTACCACATACGGTATTATTTCTTCTCATTACGAGTAACAACCGACACGTCTAATTAAATAACCTAATTGAACATCCCACCGCTTATAAACCGGCAATCACATCAATTACTGTCCACATACAATGTAGTCTTGATATGATGTTGTGCGCTAACTAGTAGCAAACGGGTTAAATTATAGTGTACGACAAACTCTAAACAATTATGGTGCTTGTGTAACGTTGGGTTTGCTTCAGCGGGCGATGACCTCATGTGACGGCAATAGTTATTAAAACTAGCCTAGTTAAGACAAGCTATCCCTATACATTTTAAACATATATAAGCATATTAAACGCATACGGATCAATCAATTAATACCCCCGCCGCAGCAAACCTGCAGACTAAGCGAATTTCCATTTGACTGATTGGATTTACACTGAAATGTCTACTTAAAAATATAACATTTATTCCCGATTTAAATAGAATTAGTTTAACAAGTACTTAGGTTTGCTGCATCAGGGAGGGTAAAATTGTGTTTTTTTTTGTAAAATGTTAATAGTTAGTAAGAAATAAAATAATTTTCCAAATTTGATCAAAATACGTTCATAAACAAGCAAACTACAACAGTTTACTTATTCTCCATAAGAATAACATGGGAATTTTAAATTTACAATTTTTTGGAATTTTCTCCGTAACCGTTAAGCGCATAATAACGCTTCAATATACTAAATTATTTGTTTTTTTAAGCTCTACAAAATGGTTTGGAAATAAATTGCAAAATTTTAAGTTTTTAGGGTTAAAAATGGGAAAAACCAATTTTTACCCCATAAAACCCCCCATAAACACCTGTTCCCATAGTCCGATCATGCTGGTTCGCGAACTCGTTCGAATAAACGTGGGCTTACATGTTTGTACCAAATTAATTCCCCGAATTGACTTTTCAAGTCCGTGCTCGGGAGGGAATCACTTATTTGAAAAAAAAATATAGTTTTTAATAGGCCGAACTCTTATCCTCAACCTTTCACTTAGGGTTAAAATGTAAACTCGAGCATTATATAGCCAATAGAAGTCAGGTAAGTTTTAAACGCTAATTTTTTTTCTAGATTCATTTTGGCAGGAATAAAACAGGACAAAGGTTTCGACAGACGTATTTATGAATATTTGCAACCAATGTCTTCTTTCTCCAATACTAAAGACTCGCTGACTACCGTTACCCACTACGTTGCAAGAATTCAACTATATCGTGACCATTGCGCGTGGCCGACATGGTCTGCGATGTACCATTACAGGCAAAACTCGCCATAATTGTTATTCTAATTGGTGGACCAACACTGCAATTATGTCTAATTTAAACTGAGGTGACGAGCAAAAACTCGACGTAAAACCATCTGGTCAAGCCACAGCTGCGAGGGACTAACATGTGCTAGGCCTATCTGCTATCACCGCTGCCCATGGGAAGTGTAGCTGCCACTAAAGGCTTGTAATTAGTACTGTATTTAGGTTGACGTTTAAAATGTCACAAAATGAAAATATAGTTCGTTTAAAGTGTGGTTACAGTGCTCACCTGACCAACAAATGCGGGATATTTCTAGCGGTGCGGTTGGTAATTGACAATATCGCTCCTGTTTTGGATATTTCTAGCGGTACTGTTGGTAATTTACAATATGTCTCCTAAATTCTAATTTACACCGTAATACAATACATATCTGTGTATGCTAGCTACATGAGAGAACTGCCAGCTGATGCCAGGTAGCGGGATATTTCTAGCGGTGCGGTTGGCAGAGTTTGCCCGTGGTCAGGTCAGGCTGGACCACATTCCTCTACCGCGGTCCGCAACGTGATTATTGGTGGAATCCTTGCCTTTCCTTCCCTTCCCTGACCTTGGACTCTACCAAGGCCGTAGCCACCGCCTCCAGGACTGCAACTCCAGGGCGCCGCCCCGGGGGACGCGGGTGACCCATGGAAGTACTATACCAACGTAACGGCAGAACGGTCCATAGGAACACCTTCCTGCCACTAGCATGCATGGTAAACGGACACAGTGCTAAAAGCAGTATTTCGTTATTCGTGGTATCACTTATAAATAAGAGATAAAAGGCATTGCTGCCAATTGCACCGCTAGAAATACTCCGCTACCTGGCATCTGCTGGCATGTGTCCCGCGTACCGCACTGTGCCCTTAGCTTATTAGCTAACCTACAGTGATGTATTGTATTACAATATGTACAAACTAGGAACAAGAAGTGTTCTTTACAACTACACCACAAGAAATATCCTAATTTTACTTTAAATTAAGTAGGCCTACACTCATAGAATTAGCAAAAAATATTGCAAAGAAATACAATCAAAATCTTTAATCAATGGGCCATTTTTAATATCAGTGGTATTAGAGCATAGCAGTGGGTAGCATAAGTTGTAATAAAATAGACTGTATGACCAAAAACAGCTCGACTATTGATTGAGGTCCTATTTCATTCCAATTGCATAATATACTGTAGTTGAATTAGTTTTTTTACGTAAATTTCTGATATCTATCTGTCAAATAACCAACTTTTAAAATGAACAGACAACTTGTTATGCTCTAGAGCATAGTTCACCACTCGGAATTTATCACAGTAGGCCTATGAAAATTAATGGAGAAAATTAAGTTTCGTCGTAACTGTGTTGGGCTACAGGGATTATTCAGCAACTAGCAGAGTACCTGTCCTTTATACAGGGTTGGCAATTGGCATGTAGAGCCTAAGTATAAAATGCTCATTGCAGTCATGGGAGAGGACACGGTTTAAGAAAGTTGGTTCTTTTAATTTATACGGTATGCTATAGAACAGCGCATCTACCATAGCTATAATGTTCTACCACAGCACCCTAAACCATAGGAAAAAGTAAAGTTCTCATTGACACAGGTTTTTGTTTTTAGGTTCAAATCAAATTAGCCTAGCTTTTGTCATAAATGCAAACAATTAATAGTGCTGCACCCTGTTGGTAGAACCTTATAACTTTTTAATGCTATTAAATATTATATAACCATAGAAAAAAATATAGGCTTTCAAAAGAAGGTTCCACGATGTGCCTGTCGATATTCGATTCGCTGCCGTCGTCGGCTCCTCGCCGTATGCTATATGCTACCAGCGGAAATCCAAGCAGTGGACGCCAGAACGTATGCTTAACACCAGCACAGCTGACGGCCTTTATTCTATTTGTCTATGATATAACCATATAAACAACTTGTGCAGTTGAAACAGATGACAAAATTCTAACATCTTAACATGGGGAACTCCAGAACCACTGGGG